TTTGAAGATTTTGATAGTTTATGGATTTTAAGAATAATAGAAAACAATGAGAAGGCTTTCAGACTGTTTAGGCCTGTTAGCAAACTTACCTTCAACAGGCTGAAGACTACTGATCAATAAGGAGATGACCGCAATGTTAAAACAAGACATGACTTTCTTACGGAAGCTTCTCCAAGATGGCACCATCCTCTTCGTGACCGGTTTGCGTTTTTATATTTACTTGATAATCAAGAATGACTTAATATTGAACACGAAAATATAGAATTTTTCCTCGCTTTTGTAATGTTTATACCATTTAATGACAGAAAAAGCAAGAATGGTTATTTTAGAGACTTTGGAAGAACAGAAGTTAGCGTTCGAGAGATAGTTAGACCTGACGGGGCTCCCTCGATACGCAGGAAGCGTTCCTTATGAATAATTTAACGCTTACGTTATGAATAAACTAAACAAAATGACAAAAAGACTAAAAAAAAACAAAGAAATAATGGATGATTGAAATGCTGACAACAAGAAAACGAAAAAGAAAGACAAAAAAAAAGAAAGATAAGATGATCGAAAAAAACTGATAAAAGAAAGAAAAAGTGAAATAAAGAATAAAGGAAGAGATAAGAGTCAAAGAGGGTAAAAAGAAATGGAAAAAATCGACAAGAAAAGAAAAATAGTTAGCGTGATAACTTAATGTATAGTTCCTGCTGACAATAAAATGTAGATGTAGATGTAGATGAAAGACAAAAGGAGAAAAAGAAAGAAAGAAAAGGGAATGAAATAAAGGCAAGATGATGATGATATTGATCATCATCATCATCATCATCATCATCATCATCATCATCACTTTATTTAAGTGTCAATGTAGTTAGTTTCTACAACTAATTGGGGACACAAGATGATGGTGAAAAGATGATTGAAGAAATAAAGGGGAGAAAACAAGTATAAAAAGATTGAACGAAACGACACCAATGAAAGATAGCAAAAAGAAAAGGCAAGGCAAGGTAAGGCAAAACGAGGAAGCCTACAATCATTCAAACGTTATCTATATTTCATAAACTCGAAAAAATCTATAAACTTATTACAAAAAAATATTGAAAAATTCCTCTCCATACAAATTTACCTACCCTCACATTAAATACCTAATTTTTTAATGATAAAAATTCTAATAAATTTGTAATGCCTATTTATTTTATTATTTCATCGCTTCACTACCTTAACTTCATTTGGATAACTGTTGCATTGTGTTGAAATCATAAGAAATCATATTTTTAACAGGGTTCGTTCTGAGATAACCACTTAAAATTCAAGAACTATTCAAGGAGTATACAAGGACCTAAAATCAAATTTTCAAGGAGTATGTTCAGCTAACTATGCCAAGGTTTTACACGGTGGTTGCACATGGTCGACTTTCAAATTTTCCGATCTTTCTGACTAGATCTATTTCAGAACAATGCAAGTAATGATCAAAGCAAAAATTCAAAGAGTTCTCAAGGAGTTTAAGGAGTAGCACGAACCTTGTTTTAAAATTCTTTCCGCATTAAAGCATTTTCTCCTGTAAATGTTGGCATAATAATGCGAGTAATCTTGAGAGCCGTAAAAGAACAAAGACAACCCGTAAAGGGTTTCGCCACAGCCAAGATGAAGAGCACAAACAATGCAATGTTTTTACATTACAGGAGATTTCATTTCTCGGAGAAAACTACCAATTTTTTGTCCTTCAACATGGCGGCTGTGAAACCCATATCATATTTACCTAAGCCATTCAGGTAGCCTTTACCACTTTAAGGGTCACAGACATGATTTAGTTGGTCAATAAAGCGATTACAAAAAAAGTCTAGCTGCATGGGTAGAGATATAGAACAATGTACAACGCGGACGCTTAGAAAGGCTATTGCTGGGTTTCACTGACGTCATTTGCTGTCTCGTGCAGAATATTCATCAGCTGAGCCATAATATTTCTGGCTGACAGCACAGTAGATCAGAGATTTAAAGAATTTCATCAGCTGATTGAAGCCCAGCAGTTATCAACGTGATATCAAATACCAATTGTGGTTTGCAACCACACTCAGGTTCAAGAGACAAAGACATATGGCGGTCATGTTGCTGCTATTTAGGACGTTCATGGGCAATACATTGTTCGCACGCATCCTTATTACGCATGAATTTAGTGAGCCCGCGCTCATCGTGATAACGTCATTTCAATGTTTTTATAAGCAAAATCTAAAAATGTAATAAAATCGTCTTTACTCTCTTATAATCTCTAATACAAAGTCGAGGACCCGCCTTTTTTATTTTGTTATTTGAAACCAACGTGGGACCTTTTGCCCGTGAACGTCCTTAACAAACCTTTTAACCTTTTTTTTTAATACCAACAATATTATTAGCAAATGGACTTGAATTAATATAAATATTAATCCTAATAGTTAGTTTTTACACTTAATTATTCTAAGTCTACTCGTGGAGGTACTGGAGGAGGACCAGCCTTCTTCGTGATAATCTGACTCCTACTTGATTCACCAAACCTGTCGATATCATGAATACTACCAGCTTTCTTTGCGCATGCGCCATCATCAGGGTCCAGTCTATCAGACTGAGTATCTTGCGATACATACTGAGGAAGATTGGGTACTGATACTGGTCGTGTTGGTGGGAGTTTTGGGAGATGCCGCCTGCGTGCTGGAGGTACCGGAGCTGTTAGATTAGATTCCAAAGTTTCTTTGGAGCTTGTAACTTCCTGAGCAGGTCTTGCTGGAGGTAATGGCGAGGTATAAGGTGGTGGCCTTATTCCTTCAGTTTTATCGTCAACTTCCCTACTATTATTCTCTATCGCCTGGGAATGAGATTTTGTTATTAACGGCTTCGGTTTGGTTTTGGGTTTAGGTTTAACAACCGGTGGAGCATGCGCAGTGGGTTCTGGGAATTTCTCCCAGTCCACCGCTTCTTTTGACTCCGCGAAGGACCTTGACCTGGGTATTGGAGTTGGTCTGGATCTACGCGCAGGTACTGGAGGGTTCTCCGTGTGTGTCGTTTCAGGACTGGTGTTCACCGCTGACACATGAGATGACTCCTTCACAGGCTCAAGAAAATCTTTTGGTTTTGAATTGATTTCGAGTTTTGGTTTGGATTCGACTTTCTGGGAATCACTTCCTAGAGCCTTTTCTTCCGCGGCCAAAAATGACGGTAAGAGCGTGGGATCGTCTTTAGCAGCCATGAGTAAAGCCTCGATATTATCTACGCTCACGTGACCAAGATGTTGCACGTTAAATGGCATACCAATTTCCGCGTGTCCAGGGCCAGAGGCCTTAAAAACAAACATAACCGACATGTTTGCTTGACAACATACAGTGAGTGCAACCATGTGACTCCTTCACAGTATAAAAACCGCCATGTTGGTTGATATAACAAGAGAAGCTCAAGAGGAATGCTTTCTTATCGTCAACCAATGATGTAGTTATGACGTAACATGCACATGCTCTATTGACAGTAGCATTATTATGTGAGATAATGTGATAGATCGTCACGAAGAAAATTGGTGATAAGACATGCATAATTGAATTTTACTGCCACCAAAAACTTTTTTTTCAGTTTTAACGTGCATTTATGTTACGTTGGATTTTAGTGTACTTCTTTAATGTAAGGATTCTCATCTAAGTTTAACAGACTGCTTGTGCATGCTAACAGTCCGTGCTAAGAAATGTTTTCCTTTAACCAATTCATTATGTCGTTTGAGTTCCAACCATTAATATGACATCACATGCAAAAATGGTTTTAACGCAGTGAAGTAAAAGGTTCATTTGCACAAAGATCAGTAAATGTTGGCTTCATGTAATATTTCAAATCCGACAATGAGGACTGGACGGGATTTCAAAGTCCGCGCAATTAGTTCCAGTCCGAGGCGAAGCCGAGGACTGGAACTAATTGCAAGGACTTTGAAATCCCGTCCAGTCCGATTTGGAGGATTTGAAATGACTTCTCATACTCATTAATTATTCGGGAGGGATGTTGTTTTTATCTTGTATTTATTTCATTGTATA